GGGGACCTCTATTTCAATTCTATCCCTGAAGTCCCCTGTGTACATATTTATAACCGAAGTATACACCTATATATACATATATGCATATATAGAGGTTATTGTTATACACAGTAATAGATTTCTGTGTTAGGTACATTTACTACAGTCCTTTAACCAACTACTCACCTACTTTGATCTTACCTACTTTCTATCAGTATCAACAGAACACTTAATATTAGAATTACAATAGCAATTTATACCATCTAAAGGTCTAAATTTTTCACTGACCTCCTTGGACAAGTAATAGGACCTTACTCATTCTGATCACCAACAAAGAAAATGTATTTGTCCAATTACAAGAAGCGAACAAGCCCTGCATGGCCAGTTCTCTACCACTGTAAATCTTGATGAAACAGATAGATACTCCACTCGTGTAAATGGCTCTAAGAGTGAAATAGCAGATATTTGGTCACTACTCATGTACCAGCTACTCAGAAGACCAAGCAAAGAGTTGGTTCTCTTGCTGACCAGAAATCATACATGTAACTAGGATAATGCCTTAAAATGCTTCAGTTTATATTCTGAAAGATATTTTAAGGATTTAGCAAATCACCTGTGGTTGTAACTCCAAACAACTGATTTCTCCCTCCAGAGAGCTATTCTTTCATACAAGTTTCAAAACTTTTTGAGATTATAAGATGCAAGACAGCAGCCACAGCAAGGAAGATGAATTACAAAGACAGACTAGCATAATTTGACATGAATAACTTAAGTCATGAAAAAAGAACACAGTAAGTGCATGAAAACTTCAGGAAATCCATAGACAAAAGAAAGAGTTTGTAGAAAAACAAATTTCTATAAACTGCTACTGCTAAAAAGAACAACCTTGTGAAAAACTTCAAAGTCACCAAGTATGAACCCTGACAATAAATGGCCAAGCAATCAGTCCTATATTCATTGATTAAAACACCAAGGCATAAGCAATATTACATAAAAACGCAGGAAGAGCTTCAGAAAATTACGTATTACTGACCCACATGTAAGTTTTGAGTTTCTTCTTCAAAAACCACAAAGACCAGATAGCAGTCAGTTCACTTGGACAGTACTCCACCAAAAAAACAGCCACACACCTCTTCCAAAGAGCTGCCACAGAGCACTCCAGTAGTGGATTAGCTATCGTTATGAGATTGTACATATTTGAAGAATATTTCAGACAGTAGAAACTGCAGTGGGAGAGGATAAAGCCTTATCCAACGGCCCAAACATCACCAATTTCTTTTAACCAAACTGCTGCATTTTCTGAAGGAATGTTAAGAGTTTGGATGCTATTCTTCCAGATGTGCTGAGCCCCTTTCCCATCAATTCATAATTCAAATTCATTTTCCTGATAAGGAGCAGCGGATCACAACTGGGTAAGTGGGCCCTACCCACACTGAGCAGTTACCCAGTGGGCCTGGGGGAGCACATGTATGCAAAGCTGTACCATCAGATATCCAGAACTGCACGTAGATATGCGTTCCTTCATTTTCCCCTACCATCTCACTAAAGGTTCACTCACAAGCATTTTTTCTTATTTTATTTAATTTTAAAAAGTGGGTTGTTTTTTTTTTTCAATAGCCTCTTTTCTCAGTTTGCCTAAATCCACCCTTTGCTTTGTTTCCTCTTGTGCCTTTCACTTCTCGCCAAGCTCAGGTTTTCCCCATACACCTTCCTTTGAGGAACAGAAGTGTGGCCTTCCCTTCCTTCCCCTACTTGATATTTTCATCCCTCATTCACTTATTTCCACCTCCTAAATAACGCCGTCTCAAAGCCCTGCAATTGGTGGCATTGCAGACAGATACAACTTAGGGAAAGGCCATGCCTAGGAACTAGGCTATAGCGACACTGTTATTCCACCTTTTTACCAAAAAGTAACTCTTTGATCCTGTCCACCTAGAAAGACTTTTTTTTAAAACTACTCAAAGTAGGAAGGACAAAGCTTTGTGCTTCACGTTCCCTACTAGGTGCGCAGGGGTTTGTAGCTCTTTCTTCCTGTTACCTTCCAGGAGCTTTGAACCAAAACTTTGTAAAGCTTTAAATTACTTTTAGTTCTGTGTGAAACAGGACGGGGGCAGAGCATGAACATGTAAGGACCACCTGCAGGGACAAACAATCAGGAAAAAGTATTTCTCAGTGACCTCTCTTGGCGAGTAGGGCACAAAAAGATGAGTTGCAGGTGAATACCAGGTCACTGCAGAGTGGGACAGCAGTCAAAAGCTCTAAGGACCTTCTTCCCCTGAAACCTAACCAGCTCTGGGTTTGCAGATAGGCTAATGTGAAATCATCCTGAAACCACAACTTCATAATTTGACTAAGACCAGCACTTTCCTACTTGCTATGAAATTCTACTGTAGCACGTACAGTCATCTTTCTTTCTACAGTATGGTGGCAGAACTCTTCAAGAGAAGCAAAGCTTAACAAATATCAGAAGTTTTGCACAGAAGCAATTCTATGCTGTACAAGCAGAGGCTGTTTTCAGGTTCTCCTCAGTTTATGAGGAAGCAGTGATTTTAGAAAGCTTGGCGACAGAGTGAATGCTTCAGAGCAAAATGGGAAGAAACGTCTGAGGCAGAGCGGCTCCAAAATATTTCTGGTTTTTAGACTTACAAATTGCTGTTTCTCCTCGTCTTATTCTAGGATGGAAGACACCAAGATCATATTAAAAGGCTGCATTCTTGTCAGAACTTCTAAAGACATATTCTACTTTGTATTAATAAAGATTTTCATCTTTTTAAGTTTGAAAGCCTATTTACAGTGAAAGTGACTGATCCTCTGAAACAATGTAACATTTGATTTTCCCATACAAGCTGGCTGAAATATACTTTAGCACTTCAGAACTACTAGTCTGAACTATCCAATCACCCCACATCACAACCCAAGGGTATCTTTGTCTCCTTTCAATTAAAAATCATTCAAACATAAATAAAAGTCTTGATGTCTGCATATATACCATTTTTTTCATAGTGAAGGACTTCATTTTGCTGTCCACAGAGCCAACATCAAGAACTCACCCTTTTTAACCCCGCAAAAACTTTGACAATTACACTGGTCACTGCCCACAACGAAAGCTTTTAAAGGTAAGGTTTCTCATGGCAAATCCACAGCCAATACTATCTTTTCTCCCCTCGCGTGTATGCTATCTCACTGAAGAGGAGGGTTGAGTTAAATTTCTTTCCAGAGTAAGAGTCTTTCAAAGCCTACGCAATATGTTTATTTGAATTTTAAGTTAACACCAGTCTTCCCAAACATAATGTCACTAATGTTTTTACCAGTAAATAAATCAATCAGGAATGTTGAGAATACAGAGCTGTCTTTTTGCCAAGAGAAAAAAAAGTGAAAAAGCAAGAATAAAATGCTATTGAAGCAGAATCAATTATGAATTACAAGATAATACACAGTCCAAAAGTTACATCAGGGTATTCTCAGTCTTGCCAAATGCATCTTTACTGCAATTGTTCAGCAGAAAGAAGGCGACGTACTATGCAATTATTTAAAGTGTACCAAATATTTCTACAGTAGGTCTTGGTTTTGCAACTGCAACAGTGAAACATTACACGCGTATTGCCATCTCATGGATACTACAAATACTTGGTTAAAATTCAAAGACTGTAATCCCTAACAGAAAAATATGCAGAATCCACAGTAAATAAAATTGTGGTGAGATTTACAGCCCGAAAGCAGGAACTTTACATTTGAAACAGTCCAAAAATCTGCCTCAGATTCTCTCGTAGTAGTTACTATTTTTATGACTTGGCTCAGACTTGCTTTAATCTCTTTATTTAGGAAGAAATTGCAGGCTTGCCAACTCTAGCAAATGTTAAGTACTTTAGTAAATTCCCCATCAATATAGGTCGTGCATTCGAGGGAACAAGAACGCGGTGAGTAAGTTCTGCTCCATCTCCTCCAAAGGGGATTTCGGAATAAGACGGTGATGGGAGAGAGCGATAAACAATGTGGCTAAGCCCCTTTTTCAGCTTCATCCTACTCTCCAGACATCTGTCCGCACTTCGTTGTGCCACGATTGCGATGCTACGTGATGCAGCTCACCCAGCTTGCTGTTATCCTACATCCCTTTTATCTGAACAGGCAGGACAGCACATGTATTGCCAATACTATCGCGTCATAACTCTTCTATTGAAGTTCAGTAACAGTAGCAAAGCGAGTCCAAACAAGTCAGCAAAAACCATAGGAAACCCAACAGAGACCAAAGATATCGAAGTATGGCATATTTACATAGAAACAGTTTTAATAGCCTATGCAGACTTTCAGAGTATCTGGCCAAATTGCCTAAACCCATCAATTCCTTTCAAACCCAGAGTTTTGCTTTTAAAAATAAACTTAGCAGCTGACAAACAAAAATTTGTATCATTTCTGAAGCTATTCTCAAACAAATGAACCCCTCTACCCAAAGAGCTCAGACCTCAAGTAACCAAGTTTCTGCTCCCTTCTCCACTTCGTAAAGCAGGGGCTCCAGCTGCCCCCGGCACCCGGGGTGACGGGAGTCACCCGGTGACCCAGGCGGAGCCCTCCTCGCCGAGGGATGCCCCTCAGCGCCTCAGCGGAGCAGTTGCCGCCTCTCCCAGACCTCACCCCGGGCTGAGGAGCCCCAGCCCTGCGGCTCCCGGCCGAGGAGGGTCCCTGGGTTTTCCAGTCACAGCCTCTCCACCAGCAGCCTCCGCATCAGCAGCTGAGAAAGGACAGGCAAGCGCCCACCCTACCGCTGCTGCACGGACTGCCCCCGGGAATACGGGGAGCCAGGGGCAGCCCCCCGGCAAGGAGGGGAGCCCGGCAGGCGGGAGCTGAGGGCACCGCATCCCCGCGGCGGCAAAGGCACCACCGACCGCGCAAAAAACCGGGCAGCACCCCGGCCGCCTGCATCGCTGGCGGTGCTCACGCAGCGGTTTCCAGTTAGCCGGAGACGCTGCTGTGAAGAGGAGAGAAGGAGGGGAGGGAGGGAGGGAGGCAAGAGAAGAAGCCATTACCAGAGTTTTGTTCCCGTTCTTGCTGAGGGGGCCTCGGAAAACTCCCTTGATGTTGCGAAAGTGCCCGTTGCTGAGGTGCGCGGAGCTGATGACAATGTAGTAGCACTCCATGGGGCCGGGGATG